CTTCTCAGTGCCTATTACTCTGGTATGGGCAGGATTTGATAGACACCACACTAAACTGTTATTAAAACTGATCAGTAATAATATAACTGTAAACTTTATTTGTTAGTAAAACACATTAAAATTTCCTTAACCTGACCAGTTAAGGTTATAACACATAATAACGATGTCACCGTGCCATCTATTACATTACATTTCACGTAAACGTGAAAATGTGCTATAGGCCACTTTATAAGGAATTAAATTCTTTATAATAATATCGATTCAAAAGTCACCCTAACGAACTATAGTTGGGACTTTTAAAATTGGCATAATCCGCAAGAAAACTGTCACATTTACTTTCTTCTTTCAACTTATTCACTAGACTAAAGCGGTTGCTGTTAGAACGTCTACTTTTACTCACGACAGACGTAGGAATATCGTAACTATAGAAAAGGGATGTCAGATAAGAATTGCAGCGGACATTAATAAAGAAAAAAGAATAACATTACACCAGTTGATGTCAAACAGAAAGAGATGCAGACAAACAGAATTTGAGCATGTACATCGGACTTTAAAGAAAGTTCAACGTTCTCAGGAATTTAGGAATGCAAAAATGCTTGTTTAAATATTCTAACCAGGCAGTTATAAAGCCGACCCTGATTTTTTGCGTACCTAATAATATTTGTCTGCGGAGCCCATTTCTCCACCGATCATCGAGCGAGAACTAGACAAAAGTGTACAGTACCGTTTGCAAAATTATTTAAACTGCCGCGTTAAAATTAAAGAATATGCTTTATTTAAAAGCATATTTAGCCAAAAATAATAACAAGTTAATTAACCTAACGTTTTACACACCTATAAAACTTTTGTTTTGTTTTCTATTGTTAATTTATATACATTTTTGTTTTAAGAAATTGCTAAACATTTTCGTCTAGTACTGTACATTTCTAGCCGATCTTCTAAGACCGCCCATCGAGAGCTCTGCTCGTTCAAGCTTGTTCCAACTATTTCTGTCTTGCTCACGCCTAGTGTGTATTCTTTCTGTTTTCGCGCAGATTTCTTCAAGGTCACAATTCTAACAAATTGAAATAGACTGTATATACGTTTATTGCATTAAATTTCTTTCACTTGCTGTGCACGGGCCGCCTCTGTAATAGTGTTTCATCTAGATTTGTCGGTATGTAAATTAAATGGACAAGGAATTCTTTATTTTCTTAGTGACGTATTTAATTAACTAACAATATATATTCAATTATTAATTAAAAGTTATTATGAATTCGTTAGTTACGTAACATATTATTTATATCATTTTAATAAATTTTATTTTGAGAAAGAAACAATCGGTTTGTATTTTGATTTCTGAATTTAAATAGAGAGACAATTAGCAATGCAAAAAACGAAATTTATTTAAGCGGCAATGAATGCTATACTTTAGCGGGGCAAGGTCGAAGCGTTCTTTCGATTTCATTGTCACAATTGGATTTACGTATAGGCACGTAAAAATAATGAACCAGTAACAATTAGATTTCAAGTACAACCAAAAACGTATGCTTATCTAATATAAAAGAAGCGAATCGCTTTTTGCATGATCTATCAAAATAAAATAAACAACATTTTTGTAAATATTGAGAGTTCAATGAAATTTGCCAAAAAAGTTTCACTGAATTTTGTTCATGAATCATAAAGTTTTGAAAAAATTAATATGTTGTTTGTTTTTGGAAAGTTAGTGTATGCTTTGATAAAGAGGATATGTATATGTCACAGAGCTGCCGGCTGAAGAGGAACTAATCAAACGGCCCTGGAATGACCTGAGGTACAGGGATTTCGGTTGGTAGGTCCTCTTTGGAGGAAATCCAGGACTAGTCAGACGTACGAACGACAAAACAAACAACAGGAGAATTAAATGCTTTCGACTATGATTGTTGAATCCTAATTAGTGAGTTACAACCACAGGAAATGGTAAATTATTTACGTCAATGTTTGGGCGTATATTTTGAAAAATCACAGAATAGGGACATTGGACATTCTTATGCTGGTGGGCGGGGCGGACCATCTTGATTATACCGGGAAGGGCGAAAGGTTTCTTACAACCTTCTTCTTGTGTGATAGCGTCCAGGTGGTTAGGGTGTAGTTATCACCTTCTATTTATCAAAAACCGATCCTGGATGTAATTTTTGGGGACAACACATTTTACTAAAATTGTTTTCTGAAGGAACCTAAATTATACATACTAGTGTAAGAGTGGGTACAACTAATATAGATGAATCCCGGAAAGTACGCATATAAAATTATACTTGGGTTGTTCAAAATTAGCACAGTCCACAATAAAACTGTCGCATTTACATTCTTCCTTCAATTTACTAACTAGATTAGAGCAGTTGCTGACATAACGTCAACTTTTACTCACGACAGACGTTGTAGGGAATATCGTCAACATAAAAAAGAGATGTCAGGTAACAATTGCAGCGGACACTAATAAAGAAGAAGGAATAACATTACACCAGTTGATGTACGAGGACTGTTCAAAGAGTATTGCGAATTTTGAATTTTCGAGGATTACGCATATTCGATTTTCGATTTTTTTCGCCATGTTGAAGTAAAGTTAATTTTTGAAAACTACTTTACATGCATGTTTTGCCTCGTCTATGACCTTTGCCAATTCCAAAAAATAGATCAAATCAAATTGTAATAATTACTTGGCTCGAAAAGTGAGGGAGATGGCGTATGGTTTCGGACTAGTGCTATCTCTTTCATGACACGCTCACGCACTATCGTGAGAGAGATGGATATTGTCCGAAACTTCGTTCCATCTCTTTCTTTTATTGTACCACGATTCAGACCGCTAAGGCATGTCCGAAACCAGACGCCATCTCCCTCATTTTTCGAGACAAGAAATTATTACAACGACATACGCCTAAGGCACGTATATTAATATATGTCTATGGTTGACTGTGACATATGGTGAAGCTACCTTAGACCGAAGCAACGTTTATCAGTGGTACAAAACGTTCTCCGAGGTCGAGAAAATGTGAACGAGGAAAAGCATGCCGGACGCCTGAGCACGTCAACAACAAACGAAAACTTTGATGAAGTGAAGAAAATAGTATTGGCTAATCATCGAAACACCGTTTGAGAAGTTACTGAGGATTTAAACATATCGATTGGCTCCTGCCGTTCGGTGTTTGGCAATGATTTAGGCATGAGACGGTTCGCCGTGAAATTCATACCAAAATTGCTCAATTTCGACCAAAAACATACATCGTATTGCTAAGGAGCTGTAGGACTCTGTCCGCGACGACCCAAATTTACTCCAGAGGGTCATAAATGGTGACGAATCACGGGTTTATGGTTATGGAGTGGAAATCAAAGTTCAATTATCCCAATGGAAGCTGCTGTTCGAGGCAAGACGGAAAAAAGCGCCAAATTATGTCGAATGTTCTGCTAAAGAGTTCTTGCCACAAGGTAGAACGGTCAATGTGCAATATTACCTGCAAGTTATGGGCAATTTGGGCGAAGGAATCCGCCAGAAATGCCCCGATTTGTGAAAGAACAAAAATTGGCTTTTGCACTATGATAATGCCCCAGCTAACACATTGTTGCTTGTGCGCGAATTTTTGGCAAAAAAATCGGTTGTCTGTAAAGTCGGTTTACTGACGATAGTTGAACGTGACAACGTCATAAGAGAATACTGATGGAATGGTTTCATTTTTCAAAAGAAAATTTTAATTTTATTTGTTTGATAGATATTTTGCATGGATATAGAGAAGGAGGTAAATGGAAATGTATTATTGTATGTTTTTTCGTGCGTGCAGCCCGCTCCATCGAATTATAAGACGTTGTCACGTCAAAACAACAAACTAATAATGCCGCAGCCACCCTTTTTTCCGGATATGGCCCCCTGTGACTTTTTCTTGTTCCCGAAACCGAAGAGGCCCACGAATGGACGACACTACGCTACGATTGAAGAGATAAAGACGGCATCGAAGGAGGAGCTGAACAAGATCACAAAAAATGATTTTTTAAAGTGTTTCGAGGATTGGAACAAGTATATAATATCTGGTGGGGATTAATTTGCAGGAGACAAAATAGATATCCATGAATAAATAAAAAATTTTTGAAAAAACAAAATTCACGACCTCGTATAACAGAAAGAGCTGCAGACAAGCAGAGTTTGAGAACATTGCTAGAATCGGACTTTAAAGAATGTTTAATATTCTCAGTAATTTAGGTAAGCGAAACCCCTTGTTTAAAGATATAATTCCAGCCAGGTAGTTTTTCCGCTTTTCCTAACTTAACAAGGGTGTGTTCGAAACGGCTCAAATGACTACATACCCAAGTAGAAAGAAAGAAGATATGTCCATTCTCACAGATAATTTATCACGGACTATGCCAATTTTGATTGTTTCAACTATACCATCATCCTGTAGAATAAGTATGCAGTAAATTTCACTATTCGTTAACAGATGGCAGGTCATGTTCTGATTTCTTGGTATCAGTTGCTTTTCTGAATTCAATAACTATCCATTGCCTGGAGAATGGTAGTAATATCGGTCTTTTTTGAGTGCTGACCGGAACCCGGCTTTGTTAATGGAAACCGACCTGGTCGAAACCTTATTAGTGTGAGCAGAATGAGACGGACGAAATACAGACCAAAGACAAGTAAAACGCTGTCCGTGAAATATTATTACTTCCCCAGTATTTACGTAAGTGGCCCAAAGAAACCATAAGAATATTTGGACAAGAACAGGAGGACCCGGAATCGAATGCTAAACAAAGGTCTAATAAACCGCTACACCATGTAGCTGGATGCAGATTGAGGTGGTATCAGTGGCGGATTATCCATAAGGCAAAGTAGGCATACGCCTAGGGCGCAAGGTTAAAAAGGGGCGACTATGAGATGCCAGTCTAGAGCACTCTCGACATTTAATCCGCCTCTGGGTGGTATCCATTTTTATTCAACGTTTCCCAGCATCAGTGCCAGATATTATTGATTCCTACAAATTAATGTTTACAACTGACAATTTGTTTTATTATTGTTCCACAAATATCAATAACTAATACTGTCTGAAAAGGGATAAGCAGAATTTTTCAGAATGCATGCCACTCTGCTAAAGTTACTTATACGTTCACAGACAGCGCAGAAATTATTGGAACTTGCTTTATTGAAATATAATTTATTTTTTGATATTTTAGTATGAGTTACATATAATATATACAAACGTAATTGATTGAGGCAAGAAGTAAGACAAACATGAACGACTTCTGCTGACTACTACCCGACTCTCCACCTTCTCCATCACTCCCTCCTGATCCACCATCACTTCCTCCTCCCCCTCCTCCACTTTCCCCATCTCCTTCATTTGTCAATATAGTCAATCGACCAGTATCTACTGACCTAATGGGATAGTTGTCGGCTAAATAACCAACTAATGCTTCAGAGTCCTCCATTCCAGAAGTTAGATCGGTCATATTGGCGTATAATGATGTATATACTCCACTATTACTGAAGTAATCTGGGAACATCACCAAATACGATTCGTCTTCCCTGAGGGGAACAAAGGACGGTGATGAGCAACCTGAGCAGTAAACTTCGGCGGATAAAACTTTCATATCGGAAGAATAGTTGACGTGAAGACCTGAAAGTTAGGTTAGGTAACATTTTAGAAACAATATTCGAAAGAGGCGTTCTTTATGAAATTCTAAGCTAGATTTACCATATTATGTAAAACATTGGTAAAGGTCTAGATGATGGTTGAAAGCGAAAGAAGAGGTCTTCGCTATCACTGCATGTACCGTAAAAAGTTATGGGGGTTGATAGTTGATTATTTTGACAATTTTCATACACTATAATTCAAATAAAATTCAATAAAATAATTATTTTCAAGCGAGTAGAGGTGGGGGATCGAAAGAGGGTGGTCACTTGAACAAAACCCAATAACCTAACCTAACCTAACCTACTGATAAAGATATTTAAATAATGTTTTATATAACTTTCTCAATATTTTTATGTATTTTTCATTAGTTTTACCTTTGAATGTTGTTTAAGAATGACTATATAAATATTTACATGCCTAGAAATGTATAAAAAGTGGCATATTATTAACTTTGAACCTCCATAACTTTTTATGGGGGTGAGACCGCCACAAACTTTTATGGTACAGTGGAGGAGACCTCCTCTTTCGATCCCGTCCACCCCACCCTCTTCGGGGGTGGGGGCCATCATCTAGACCTTTACCAACATATTGTTTTTCCCATTCTTTAATTTACATTTTCTTAACACTCTTCATCCCTTCCTCAGTAAATGTAATCTAACAGATTTTGTGAGCTAGACGAGCTTATTCTCAATTCCGAAGCTTTCATAGCCTGATATAAAATGATTTACCTACGTCAAAAGCGTATATGATAAGATACGGAAGTTAATCTCACATCCTTCCTGTAGTTCTATTCCTTACTGATTACTTATATTAGTCCTTTTGTACAAAATAAGGTCAGAATTTCCTAGATTCTTAATTTAAAATGCTAAAGATAGATCAGTTCTGATTTTGATAAACCATTAGTAATTTATCGAGTCTGTCTGTGGGACATTGTTGAGATCTAATAAGATCGAAATAGCGTTCTGCGTCTAGTGGTTTAGATGAATTTTTGACTGGAACCTTAATAAACCTCTGATTTTTCAATGCCTTACATCTCCCATCTTCTAGATTTTGTAGTCAGATTTCACTGATTACTTCTAATTTACAACGTACCTATATACTGTAGCGCCTATAGATATATTTCAATAAAAATTTATAAAACGCCTTGTGGTTTGATGACGTTTGTTATTTCCAAGTGATTATTCTTTAAATATAAATTTTCGGCAATTATACTGTACAATCTACACAGAAAAACTGTATCATGTCCAATCAAAAGCAATTCCACTAACACATGAATGTGAATCATAAGCCGACCTTGCGGTAATCGTCCCGTTAGTTTATGCATAATTGAGTATTTATATTTTTAAATTTGCGGAAAACTCACCGTAAGAAAAATGTAAAATTGAATCATCGGAAGTCTGCTCCAAGCCCTGAAGTAAATATTTTCCTTGTAAAATTCCGAATTGAATTGTATTTTCAAATGGAATAACTTACACAGCATCAGCATAGGTTATATCTGTAAAAAAGATGCTTCTTTAATGAATTGATGTAAAATTTAACTAATGAACTTGTTTAGGAAATAAATTGTCAAATTAAATCAAAAACATTTCCTTTTTATTCTTTACTTTAACTTACTTAGCATTGTTTAAACTAATTTAAAATTCGTTTCAATTTTATTGAAGAATTAATAACATAAGCAACAAAATAAAATTCAAATAAAGTAAAGCAAAAGTGCTTATTCTTTTTGCACGGTTTAAGATTTAACGAACAATCATATATGAAACACCTATTATCCAAAATTTTGTGGAGTTTTCAATAGTAAGGTTTTATTTACAATTAGTCTAGCTCACAGAACTTTATTTAATTTTTTCAAATCATGAAACAAAAACAGAAGTCATTAATAGAACATGAATAACTACTTACTTCCAGCTGTTAATCCAGCTCGAACTCCTCCTGCATTTATTATCGCGATCGGCGGATATTGTAAATCGTTGCTTCCCTGATACTATAAAATACATTTTGCATTAACAATTAATAGAAATGAAGCGCATTAAAAGAAGCAGAAAATAAATAGGTAAATGTATCTGTGTATTTAGGTATTTATACATATAAGAATAGTCTGCGTACTAAATTATTATTATTATTAATGATGACATAAATGAGGAGAATTATGAGGAATGCATTCTATCTACCGATTTCGAATTTGGTTGATGTAGGACTACAATCGGCATTCCGCGCATACTCGCTTTACGTGGATTTGTCTGATCATTCGTTGTCCCCCAGGGTCCTCACCTTGTCGCGATGAGGTGCTCAGTACCCATATGCACCTTCTGGTCAAGGTAAAAGACTCCCAGGGATCTGGAAGCAAAAGTGATTGTGGAAAGTAACCGACAGACACAGGCTAAGATCCGGAAGCACCCATCTGCTGTGCCATAGAGAGCCGTGAAAGTCCTAGAGGGAAGGAACGCGACAAGCTGGCATTCAAACGAGGTATAAGCCCAGCATAGACGTGGTAGGCTAACGCTGGGGCCCAGTTTTCCCCCTGTAATAAAGCCTGCCACGTCGAAAGGGAGGCTCTCCCGGTGCGGTCATCAACACCTGCAATGACAATCGCATGGAAACCTCGACAGGCGCCGAAAAGCCAGCGGTCCTCTGACTCATGTCTGAGGTCGAAGCTAGTGTCCAAGCTAGTGGTGCGCATCTGTAGAGGTCACAGAGTAGAGGGTAACCTGACTCATTAGCGGGGTTTACGACATAAACATGTTGGATAACCATGTAACCATATATGGATCGGATATGCAGCCTGACCCATTAGGGCGTTAAAAGCATAGTAGATTGGGCGAGCCAGGACGCTGAAGGATGTCCGGTGATAGCAAGAGTACAGCAAAACGGACCTTACCCAGTGAGGGGTGCTTCGGAGTAGCCAATGGCTACCAGAAAGCCTATACTGGTACTCAGGAGGCGGGATCCCACAGGAGTCTAGCTTCGATTCCAGCTCGCCAACTGGTGTTGGACTTGAGGTGGTAGTTGGTACAGCCCGCATGCTGGGTCAAGGGGCTGTGCAGCAGATCGCCCGGTTCGTTGTGTAGTCCCTGCATTTGGGTACAGCCCGCATGCTTGGTTAGGGGGATGTAGAGCAGATCGCTCGGTTCGTTGTGTAATCCCTGCATTAAACGCTTAAGGGTTTGGATAGGCTCGGAGTTGGGGGTTACTCGTCTCTTTAATCCTCAGGCACTGGATCGGTGGCTTCCAGGGACCAATCCATCTGACGGAGGGGAGACCCCAAGGTGACCCTCATTCCATCATAGCTCAGCTGTGTTGGTTTGACGTGTGGATACGTTATCAAATGGTAAGGGGTCGCACGTGAAATCTCCATTAGTTGATCATTCGTTGTCTTAATGCTCAATCTACGATAACGGCGAATATTCATCGTCTCATCGGCAGAGTTTATAGAGGAAACATTATTAACGACAGAATGACACGTAAAATGGCTAATAGAGTTTTTTAAGATGGTAGCACGGACATTCATGATGGGAAACGAAGTGAGCGACATTCTGCCATTACTATATATTTGGTGCAGAAACCTGACAAAGAGGTGAAAGAGAGGAGACGCTTTTTGATTTTGTCTTCATCTGATCAGTTGTTTCAAGACTGAGGAAGTGTTCTCTATGAAATTAGACCAAACGCTTAAGTTATGAGGTTGTCTTCATATAGTCTTAAACGTATTGGTAACACTTAGCAATATTCAACTGAACTGTTGATTAAATTGAAATAGCTTTCTATTCAATTTTTAGAATCAGTAGTGTACTTCCATATGTTGATCCCACATGAATGGAAGCACGTCTACAGTTACTTCACGGTAAAAAAATAACAAAAAAGACATTTGAACTCTAATCGAAAAAAGTGTATCAGTCGTTCAGAATATTCCCTAAGGAGAGCCATGCATTTTTCCGGAATAGTAGGTGTTAAGATTTTATACCTGCGCACTTCTTCGAATTATTCTAAATGCCGCCTTCGGTACATTTGCAGTGCATCGGCGTTGTATTCTTGTGATTTGTTTTTCCCTAAATTAAATTGTGTGCTGCCTAACTACGAACCTTTTGGTGTACGTGACCAGTGACGTTGGGGGTAGTGACCAGGGAAAATTCCATAATCAGAAGTGATACAAGTGGGAGAAATCGTTTTCAGATACAAAAAGACAGAACAGTTCAGAGTTCAGATTTCAGAGTCATAGCAGATCCATCAAATTCAATTGGATCCCTACTGGAGATTGTTGGATTTGCCCAAACTGGGCATTTCCCACCTATGCCCAATGCATTTTGATCTTCGTATTTTAGGGAAAGCCCAAACTTTGCCCAAGTTGGGAATTTCCCACCTATACCCAATAAATTTTATTCTGCGTATTTTAGGGCAATCCCAAACTTTGCCCAAACTGCACTTCCCAACTATAATCTTATTGAAGAATAATTAATAATTATTTAATTTATAAATAATAAATAGTTATTTTATTTATTCTATCCTATTAATAATTATTTTTTATACTTTCATGTAACAGTTGGCCATTTATTGGAAAGTATTCATTGGGACCCAATTGGGATTTTCCTAACCATATCTTAGACTCATTTTATTGTAACCCAGGAAGACATTTTGAAGATCAAGTGGGGGTAGCGTGCGTTCATAACCAGTATAACTACTAGTAGTTTACAAAACAGTTCGGTGATATCTTTTTTTTTTTCTTGTATCGATATCGATATTTTCAACAATTTATTTATGTACTATGCCAACAAATTCATCGCAAGAAAGACGTCGTGATCTTACACGTTTACGTGATAGAAGATTTGGTAAAAAGAAAAGAAAAAAGAAGAAAATTTGAGGTTAGATAATATTCAGTCATGAAAATGTTGTTGGTGAGAATGGTAAAAGTGATACAACGTTTAATAATTCAATTGCAGAAAGTGTTAATGCTATTGCATCTTCTCTTTATGATGTAAGAGATTCGGATGGATTTCGGCATAAAAGGATTATATCAGCAAAAAACCCACCAACGATTATAGTCTAGCGGAAAATGTAGTTATTCAGTAGAAATTATATTATACTATCATATGATATGCTATCCATATTATACTTAAAATATTTTTCTCTATAATACATGTATTATTTTCATTTTTATATATATATTCATTAAATTTTCAATGCATTTAAAAATAAAAATTCATTTGGAATTTTCCTAAATTTTCCAATTAGAGCTTTCCCTACCGCGTCCCAGATGGGGAAAGCGTTACATTTCCAATAGGGAACCGTTTGGGTATCCCATTTGGGTCCCCAAATAAAAAAATAAATTCTACTCGGGATGTGGTACAGCAGTACACCTACGGAAGATGCATAAGTTTTTATATTTCTTTCGCCAAGCGAGCCACGCTCCGTAACAGTAGCAAATGGGCTTATCCAGATTAATGGTTATCACTTCTCCAAGCTTCGTCTAAATCTTTTCAGCCATTAATATATGATATTTAAAAAAATTAAAAAAAACCCTCGTTTGAATTATAAAATAGGTCATTTACTTGATACGTACGCTGTGTGCCATTGAATCTGCTATGACATTTGCCATTAGACACTCAGCAACATAGCAAGTTCTCTGCGGTAAATCTATTTCTGTTGCACCGACAATTGCAGACCCATAACTGTCAACAACTTCCTTCCATGGTTGAAGTTCTGTCTCAATGGTAGCTTCTGAATAAAAAATTAAAAAAATAGTTTACGTTTGTTTTACAAAGTAAATTGTTCTTATTTTGCCTTTCGTGTAATTGTCCAAATAGATCGGAGCACCAGACCAATCGACTACATCGCCATTGGAATTGTAGTATACTGTGATGTTACCGAGGTACTTGGTGAAGGCTGACGCCTGGACGATGAGGATTCTTCTTCCGTCTTGATGTTCTATTACCGTGGGATAATCACCAGCTGGAGTATCCGGACCCGGTGGATTATCGCCTATGTATCCAAAAATTGTGTAGAATAAGATATAAGAAACATGCGCTATTTGTGCAGTAAATTTTATTAAAAACACATAGCAATACGATAAAGGTAACAATGATGCCTTAGAATGAGTTAAAGAAAGTCAAAGTTAGGGTTGACGCCACCCGGCCTGCATAAACATAAACATTTACGTAAACTGGCAAAATGAATATGGAAAATGTCGAAATTAGGGACTTTTAGAGGGTAATTTGACGTCAAGGTGGAAGCTTTGAAGCTTACAGTTTATGTTACCTGATTTTTTACTTTTTTTTTTTATTTGATCTCTTGTGGGCTAGGTTATGAGAAGTGAATGAGGGTACCCTGAGGTAACTACAACCTAACCCTTAAAAACACCACCGACGTTCTCCACTCAAGTTAAGATGACACTTCTTTAGGACAGGCTTCTTAGTTAATTTCCGTAAAACTGAACTAGGAAACTTACCCTAAAGAAGTCTGTTAAGTTGAGAGAGAAACATCGAAATCCGCCTGGCAGTTTTGATAAAATACTAAAAACTTAGTAAACTAAGTAAGTCATTGTTTAACAATAAACCCTATACCCTTATAGTGGCTAAATTTTCATTTGAAGGGCGGCGCTGTACAGGTGCGGAACATGGACGGTGAGCGCGGCAGAAAAGTAAAGGTTAGAACAGTTTGAAATGTGATGTTACAGAAGAGAAGGTTAGAAATAAAGAGAAATTAAAAACAATAGGAGAGGAGAAGAGGACTCTATGGAAGTTAGTAAGAAATAGGCAAGATAGGCTAGTAGAACACCTTCTCAGGCATGAAGGTTTAGTCAGAGACATATTAGAAGCAGAGTTAGGAAGGGTAGAGGTAGACCTTGATTAGATTACTGTTCGTAAATGGTTAAGGATGTGGGATGTTCTACTTTTAGAGAAATGTGAAGATTAGCTCAGGATAGGAAGGAGTAGAGGTGCGTGTCCTACTAGTCTTAGGCCTAACGACCTTATGATGAATAATCTTTTGGAGAAGATATAGCAATTAGTTCCTAATTTTTGATCTTGGCTTCAAATTAGTCCCTACATGGTCCCTATTTTGATATTTTCCAAATACATTTTGACCAATTCGTTGTAACAGTTTTAGGGCCTTTTAGAAATTGCAATCCAATGTGGTAGTTTTGATACCGAAATTACTGGCCAAAAACCTAATGTTCTTGAAACAGGTAATAAATTGTTTCTTTTAGTTGTTAGAGCATAAATACTTCAAAAATTGAAAACAAACCTGTGAAGAGGAACGTATGGGAATGCGCACCAACAATGAGCCCTATTTTCCTGGATGCATTCGCAGCAATTTGTTTGTCCAAATCGTATCCACAATGAGACACAACTATAATTGTGTCAATGTTTTCTTCGGCCACTAGGCGATCGGCCTCTTCATTTACGGACGCAGATTCTGGCAGAAAAACTAGGTTCTCTGTTTCGGCCATTTTCTTTTTTAACAAATAAAAATATATGTATATGTATGTAAAAATCGATATAATTAAATTATACAAAAGAAAATAAAGACATTAATTTCTCTTTTAAATGGTACGTACCTATTATAAATACACACACCAGTACAATTAGGGGAACGCAATAAAGGTCGGGTTTTTAAATAAATTTATGTTCTATATATACTTTTTATTAATACAATAATCAGTTGTGCTCAAATTATCTAAAATATATCCTAGTGTAACTTACTCATTTCTTTTTGAGGAATTAAACCAAAATTACAAAAAATGAAAATCGAACTTTGTTTTTTTGTAAATTATCAAATGTGTAAACTTAATAGGTAATTGGGTCACTTCAATAATTTCCGAATGTGATGTCTCTAATTAAAGATAATCAGTATTTACTTAATAAAATATATGCAGAAATTAATTGGCGGTAAGAATTGGTCGGTTGGTTGGTACTGCCTCGGCGAGACAGGTTGGTCACTCACTAAAAAGTACTTACTAACTGGTAAAAACTGGTACTCCAACTTTCTCCTTTGGTGACAAAAATCTCTAATGGGGATGAAATTCTTAGAATCTTGCCGTTAAGATACATACACATTCAAGGCTGAGGGTTCAAACTATCATAAAATCAGGTATAAAATGTTATTTTATTTGGCTTAAAGGACGTATTTTTTTTGCTTCAAAAATAAAAGAGGAAAAAATCGGAATATTTGAAAATAAATACGATGTTAAATTTTGCTTACTACTACATTCAGGAATTAGTAATAATGTACACAAAAAAGGTAAAATACTGCCGAACAAACTTTTCTTTAAAAATTAGAACTGTATAATGTTTCGACAAGCACAAAAAAAATTTAATAATAACCTTGTATTGCCGCCGCGGGGGTTCTANAATTTTGCTTACTACTACATTCAGGAATTAGTAATAATGTACACAAAAAAGGTAAAATACTGCCGAACAAACTTTTCTTTAAAAATTAGAACTGTATAATGTTTCGACAAGCACAAAAAAAATTTAATAATAACCTTGTATTGCCGCCGCGGGGGTTCTAATTAAAGCCTGTATACGATTTCGTACGCTTTGAATTACGCTATCAATAATTTCTTGAGATGAGTTGTCCCACTATTCCACCAACGCCAATTGCATTTCTTCGACATTATTAGGGGCTGGATTTCATTGTCGAACCATTCTGCCTAGATAATCCCAGACATGTTCGATCGGATTCATATCCGGTGAATGCGCTGGCCAGTTCATTTCGAGTGATACCGACCTTATTAAAATTACCTTTTGTTTATGCTCCCCTAACTGTGCCGGTGTATGCGTTTTGTTCATATTTAGTTAATTGAATAAAATATGATACTATTACGCCTTATTCACAGAATTATCCTTAACTGGGGTGATTTGAGTTTGAATCAATTAAGTTAAAATGACTTGAGTCAGTTATTCCAATTCGGAAGAAACATATAAAAAAAGTAGCAACGTATAATTGAGTAGTGCGAATCTTCAGAAGATATTTTGATATCGTCCTTCGACTTCGACATAATACTACAACAAATAAAACTTACTGGAGTAGTGGATATCAAAACTCCTATAATTCCAATTCTTATTCCATTCCTTTCGATTATAACACTTTTGTTAAATGATCCTAGAATGTCTGGTTCGTCGGTAGCATCAATATTTGCTACAACTACCGGCGCTTTCAGGCTTTTGATAAATGGTGCCACACCCTCAATGGCATTGTCGAATTCATGGTTGCCAAGAGTCTGTAACATACGAACGCAGAAATATTAGGTCCATTTCATCATCATAAGGTTGTCAGTCATAAGACTGGTTGGACACGCACCTCCACTCTTTCCTATCTTGAGCTAATCTTCGCATTTCCCCAAAATGAGAACAACCCATATCCTTAACTATTTGCGAACAGTAATCTAATCTAAGTCTACCTCTACTCCTTTTAACTCCTGTTTCTACTACTAATAGGTCTCTGACTAGCCTTTCATGCCCGAGAAGGTATCCTACCAACCTATCTCGCCTATTTTTTATTGACTTCCTTAGAGTCCTCTGTTCTCCTATTCTTTCTAATACCTTTTCATTTCTAACCTTCTCTATCCGCGCTATCCTCATCATTTGCCTGTAACACCACATTTCGAACGCTTCTAACCATTTTTTCCGCTACCACCATCGTCCATGTTTAGCATCCGTAAAGCGCCGCGCTCCAAGCATGCACCTTTAACAATCTTTTTCGAATTTCTAAATTAGTCGTTCGCGAGCATAGAAGTGACTTCTTTTTATTGAAGGCGACTCGATCCTACTCTATCCTTTGCTTTATATCTCTACTACTCTTTCCGTCCTGACTTATCTGGATTCCTAGATACCTAAAATCGATCACTTCTTCTAATTTTTCGTCTCCTATCTTTATATTCGCTCTTTCCCCACTTTTTCGTTCCTTGCATATCAGTATTTTTGTTTTACATTTATTAATTTTCATACAATACTGTTTCGTCAATACCGCTTCCATTTTATTTAAAGCTATCTCTAACTCCTCCTTGCTAGATGCTAATACTGCTATATCATCTGCAAATCTAAGCATACTAATCCTTTGTCCCTCTATATCTATCCCTTGTGGGTATTTTTTTTTTAAAGAACTGATTTCAAGGAACTTTATATAATACTCTTCAATACGATTCGAATGAATAGGTTCTATCTTCTATTTCTAGTGTATCTACGTAATTGCTGTTAAAGTTATCAAAAAATTGCTTATCTGGAACATTCTATCAGCGTCTCAGATATTGCAGTTTATTAGAAATTTTAAATTAATATTGTTTTAACTACGAAAGTAAGCTTTGCCGTTTTTGGGTACTGCAGCTAACTAAGAATCTTGACAGTTTCGGTATATGCGTTTTTTTGTCTTTATCTGTTTATCCGTCCATCTGCCGGTTTCAACATCACAACGCAATATGTCGGAATCAACCACAGCGCAGTCGACACTAAATCATTCACGGATTTAGATTTGAGTGCGTTCTAGATCTAGTCTCCGACCGACATAATACCTTTTCTTGCTTTTTAATAGTAATTTTTCTAATGAATCATGTAATTATTATAAAACAACTCATTAGCAATTAGTACAAAATACTCCAGAAGAACATGATAATTATTGATCGTTTTTAGGGGACTTTGTTGAAGATGCTGTCTGGTATTTTAGTAAATTACCAATTTTTATAAATTATTTTGCATTTTTTATGAAATCTAAACTTACATATACATCTGTAGGAAATTTGTTCAAAAATTCTTGTGTCACATTCCACTTGAAAATGTTGTACCACAACGTCCCTTGAAAATTGTCACCAGCATTTATAAAAATTGAGTTAGGTCTATTTCTCAGCAATTCAGTTACAGCCGTAAACACCCGAGCTATTCCCCCTATACATTTGGCATCAGTGTTTTTGCAAGTGGTAGAATATTCAGTTATTTCTTCAAACCTGGAATGTGTACGTTAGTTTTATAACCCGAGAAAAGGAGTTGCATCGTATAGTGACATTTTCGTATGCGTGACCACGAAAAGACAATTTTAATTCAAACCGTTTGAATCATTATCTGAGAGATTTATCTACACTTAAGCTAATCTGAATTTTAAATATAAGAAGTAGGTACGATTGTCTGGAATCGTTTTATAAATTTAAGATGAAATCCAATATTCACAGTCGGTAGTAGTTCGTAGGCATTTACGGCCGATGTCTAATTTATGATGAAGAGCTTCTGGGATTTTCTGCCGTCGTCGAATTCTGATTGGAGACATGATCAGGAGTTCACTTGGCTCCTTGCGGAGATTATTCCAAGGTATACGTAGGCATGACTAAACGCACATCGCAACAAGGAAAAAGGAACACGAAAGATATTTACGGTTACAACAACCAGACAAATCCGCTTTAGCAGAACATTGTTGGAAGTAAGGACGAAGAATCTCCTTCGAAGATACGCACGACAGGCTATTACAATTTAGCTAGGAGAAAAGACTTCTTCTGCTTCTGGGATGTTCTGCTGTGGTCGAATTCTGATTGCAAACATGACCAGGAGTTTACTTGATTCCTTGCGGAAATTGTTCCAAGGTATACGTAGGCATGACCAAACGCACCATCGCAACAGGGAAAAAGGGACACGAAAGGTATTTACAGTTACAACAACCAGACAAATCCGCTTTAACAGAACATTCCTGGAAGGAAGGACGAAGAATTTCCTTCGAAGATACGCACGTCAAGTTATTACAATTTAGCTAGGAGAGAAGACTTCTTCTGCTTCTGGGATATTCTGCTGTGGTCGAATTCTGATTGCGGGCATGACCGGGAGTCTACTTGATTCTTTGAGGAGATTGTTCCAAGGTATACGTAGGCATGGCCAAACGCACCATCGCAACAAGGAAAAAGGAACACGAAAGACATTTGAGGTTACACCAACCAGAAAAATGGGCTTTAGAGAACATTCCTGGAAGGAAAGACGAAGAATCTCCTTCGAAGATACGCACGTCAGGCTATTACAATTTAGCTAGGAGAGAAGACTTCTTCTGCTTCTGGGATATTCTGGTGTGGTCGAATTCTGATTGCAGACATGACCAGGAATCTACTTGATTCCTTGCGGAGATTGTTCCAAGATATACGTGGGCATGACCAAACGCACCATCGCAACAAGGAAAAAGGAACACGAAAGATATTTACGGTTACACCAACCAGAAGAATCCGCTTTAGCAGAACATTGCTGGAAGTAAGGACGAAGAATCTCTTTCGAAGATACACACGTCAGGCTATTACAATTTAGTTAGGAGAGAAGACTTAGAAATTGCACAATATCAAGATAATTTAACAAGGAAGATGGATTAAATATAAAGAGAGCTTGGAAACCACTTGTAAGAAACAAACCAACAAGGGTGCAACCTAGTGGAACGAAACATGACAATAATGTAATACCAGTCAAACGTGACCACGAGACTAATATAAATGCATCTCAAGATCTCACATTAACCATTCACCGGCCAATCATAAATCGTGAAGCATTGAAGATGTCATCTAATAAGGATGGCGAAACGTCTGCGATTAGAAATCGACCACGATAGAAAAGCCCAGAAGATCTTTATCATCAATTTAACAATAGGATCATTGGCAGCCTTTTTGTGAAATATTTTTTAAATAGACGTAAATAAAATAACGGTTCATCAATAGAGAAGCGATGAATAGTGATTTTTCTGTAACAATTCCCATCTATGACTGCTCCGGAAAAGTCACTGCGATGTTACTCAATCACTTGATGTCGTTCAAGGAACGATAACTCCAATACTGACAATATTTCTAACAGAAACGATGCGTGGTAGTATAGGCAACATAATTATGTCGATAAAGGAAGATTAAGTAGGACTTACCTTGCATGGAAGTCATTTAAATGTATAACTGAAATTTCGAAACTGCTATCCGTTTGTTTCACGTCTACCGGAAGACTGTGCACATTTAGAATAACGCAAAACAACGAAATAGTGAACAGTAGCTTCATTATGATAGGAGCAGAACAACAGTTAGTGCTTATTGTTTAAGGTTTTATTTATCTTGAAATCCAGCGGGTTCATAAAACGTATCATATCTCAAATGATACAGACAATTAAATGATAAAATAATCTCTGACATCAAATTCTAGCATTGTGTGGATAGGTATTAGGTAGGCACTCAGACTTTTAATTACCTAATCGTTTTGTTTATCTTTAAATTGCTTTCCTAAGGGCGATACTTATAAATAATTATAATACACGCTTTAAGCAAAAGATTCACTGAACCTGCAAATTATATATTTGTTTTATTGGCATTCTTTTTGTGATGCACGAGAGGAGGTGAGTTTGGAATAGTCTGGAAAAGTCTGTTAAAAGTATCACCTGCTTATCTGAAATCTGTCCTAATCTAATCAAACTTTGAAAATCTTTTGAACAAAACGTAAGAAAGTTCAAAGTTTAACATTGTATATTTTCGACTTATGTAAAGCACTTTATTATTTATATGAAAAGATGGCTGAATTTCATGTAATAGATTGTAATATCCTCATGTTTACTTCTCAGTTCGCCACCATTGTATACGATGTTTGATGAATACGGAAATGTATCAAAATTCATTGACATACTCTGATGACGTAACAATACACAATTATGGATTGAATTTATTTTAGATGATTAGAGCTGATCTGTTTTTGGGCCCCACTTTAAAAATTCCGCACATCTTTTAATCCTGTTGAAAGGATCAACGAATTTAACAATCGAATGACAATCCTTCGATAACCAACAGATTTCTATTGGTAAGTGGTCTAACTTTTGACGGGGTTTTAGATAAACACGCCTCACTATTTGTCAATCCTCTCGGTTACAAGAATTCTTTAATGCTACTATGTTTGGTGATCAAGTACCTACCCTGCCGTCATGCTCAGATCAAACCATCCATTTGACATCACGATACAAACATCGGGAATGGAGCAATGTGTGATTAGGTCGTTTACCGACAGGTCTTACCCGTAACGTAAAGAATTAAATATTAGGAAAAGAGTCAGACTAGGATGCACACCGTCACCGCTACTTCTTAATCTATACAGACGCGATCAACATCATCAAAGACAGTACAACTGTAGGGATAGCTATAGAGGGGCCAAATATTAGTGTGCTTAGATCTACAGCAGTATTAGCATCCAGCAAGGAAGAGAAGACCCTGCCGCCATATTCAAATCAAACCATCCGCCTGACCCCACGGTAAAAACATCGGGATTGAAGCAGTGTGTGAGAGCCGTTTACCGACAGGTCTTACCAGTCTTGACACTTTAATGAGATCCTTCTCTCAATCCCTTTGCGCACTCCTACCGCCGACAGGAAGTCAATATCATCATCACTGACTACGTCATCGGGCTCCATCAATATCTCAGATGAGCGCACGTCTTTCTGTCTCTGGCTTCTACGGGATCATTCCCATAATTACTTCCATAGCGCTTGCAGACCCCAAACTGTCACCCTTTCGCATCACCCTATCTATTCCTTCCAGTCTGAATGCCACTGTGTGCACTGAGTCACAGATGGCTTTCACCACGCCGATTGTGGTATTTCCTAAAGTTACCGTCTTGCTAAAGCACAAAACATCAAAATATTCTATTTTAAAAAGATATCGGCACCGAACACCACTCTATTTCTAATAATACGAAGACATAACTAATTTGTTTAATAAATTAATCATTATATACACGCCAACGGGGTCACTTTGTTTTACATTAAACATTTTCATTCATGCCCACATTATTAACTCGTTTTTTTTTGTAAAAGATAAAAAAAATAAAATATAGTTAGATTTATCATATTGATTTACTTTTACTAAAAGTTCTTACAATAAATATCACAAAGCTGCTGAGAAAAATAATGACCGTCGATGGCATGATCCTAGATCCAGATCCTGAATCCCAATCTGAAACAAAATTAATTCTTCCCGCTTCTACATTCGTTATTGGACTGCTATTGTTGATGTGATTGACAAACGCTGTTATATCTTCTTCACCAATTGTATAATCCTCCATATTACTGTAAAGTGCACTGAATCTTCCCACATTTTTGAAAAAGGACGGAAAAACTACAATGTAAGTCTCATTATAATCCAAAGGTACGTAACCAGGTGTTTCACATCGTGCACAGTACACCTCTGCTGAAAGTAGATTGCGTGCAGAGGAAGAAGTGTAATTCAACCTCAAGCCTAAAATAAATTAAGAAAAAAGGTTACGGGAACATCATTTTTTGTACTACGAAAATACTGGTATGCAAGGGAATAAAATGTTGGGAAATAACGAATGTAATCGTAGGAGACGAAAAATTAGAAGAAGTGGTTAATTTTCGGTATCTAGGAAGTCAGATAGCTCAGGATGGAAGAAGTAGTAAAGATATAAAACAGAGGAAGGTCGAGTCACCTTCAATGAAAAGAAGTATCTTCTAATATGCTCGCGAAAGGTTAATTTAGAAATTCGAAAAAGGTTGTTGAAGGTTTATGTTTGGTGGGCGGCACTGTACGGTTGCCAAAAATGGACGGTGGACCCGGCGACAGAGAAAAGATAAGAAGCATTCGAAATGTGGTGTTACAGGCGAATGATGAGGAAACCGTGGCTAGAGAAGGTCAGAAATTAAGAAGAAGCAGAAGAAGGAAAGAGTACTCTATGGAAGTCAATAAGAAATAGGCGAGATAGGTTGGTAGGACACCTTTTCAGGTATAAAGGTCTAGTCAGAGACATATTAGTAGTAGAAACAGAAGTTAAAAGGAGTAGAGGCAGACTTAGATTAGATTACTGCTCGCAGATGGTTAAGGATGTGGGCTGTTCCAGTTTTAGGGAAATACGAAGATAAGCTCAGGATAAGAAGGAGTGCAGGTGCGTGTCCAGCTAGTGTTAGGACTGACGACCTTATGATAATGATGTCGCGTCTCTCACTGAACGTATATTTTGTACACGTCTTTTTTTTATGTTTTCGTGGAAGAGGGGAAATCTTCAAAAGACACCCAGCCGTCCGTACGACTGGGTAGTGTCGAATTCCCGAGGAAGAAGTCCTTGGACTTACCGACTAAACCCCCTCTACAAGTCTGACTGAAGTACCTCTATACTCGATTCAGTTCTCAAGTTAATAACAGCCACCACTACACCCCAAAAACGTTTAGTATATTTTAGTTCCGTCACACATCTCCACATCATAACGTAAATGCGACTCTCAGATTGGTGCAATAGCACATTGGGAGAAGAAATCGCGCGGCCCATAGACTCGACTCGGCAAATATCACCTATCCCACGAAAGAATGAACGGATATGGATCTATGAGGAGAATAGTGAACTAATAAATGACATACGACTGTAGCCTGTAATTCGATAAACGTACCATTGAAATAGCGCTAAGCGCTACCAATCTCTGATAGATCGAATTGGGGTATTACTAGTACCTAGGAGCGTATTTATCTATACTTTTTCTTGTCTCCACCTGCAATTACGCAATTTCATTTTTCCTGGGATGAAAGAAAAGCTTTTGTGGTTTATTCCCACCAGCCACTAATGATGGTGGGCAGGCAGTCCATCCGGACTACGTCGGAAGGTAGGGAAGAAGGCCCTCTTCAGCCTGCTTTCAGGAATCGTGGGAATGGGTGGGTGGTGGTTCGGGTGAGAAAGATGAGACGGACGAAATGAAGACAGAAGAGAATAAATGATTATCTGTGGAATATTACTGCCCCAGCATTTGCCTAACTTATCCAGGGAAACCACAGAAAAACTTGGACCAAGGCTTTTATAGTAGGTACTACAGCTAGCAGCGAATATCGTAACACACTCCCTCTTTCTGATATTAGACATCTTGTTTGATTGCGCTGATGGGAACCAACACATTTGATAGTGGATTACGTATCTATCACATATATAAAAGACCTGTATCGGTACAGTTAGCCGAAATAACGAAAGGATGTTCTTTTTTGGAAACCTCCCATGAAATAGGTAATGTTAAAGAAAATGAACAATTACCAACAAAAAAGTGTTCTTTTTTGACATAAATTCTGTTTTCTGAGCAACTGGGCCAACTTGTCTGAAACACGGTTTGTAAAAGATGTTTTGTAGATCACTTTTTCCAGATTAATGTGTTAGTTACCTCAGTAGCTAAGTTTAGTCATACTAAAAGTAGGACACGATACAAAGTGATTATTTTACATACCTGACACTTGAAGAAATCCACCTCTGTTTGTTTGCTCCAGAGCTCTCTGAAGATCGCTTCCCCGAATGTGACCATAATCGCAAGTATTTCCAAAGGGTTGAACTTCAGCAGCGTTCGCGTATGTTATTCCTGCAATGAATCTTCGTTACATGTATTACGTATCTACTGTTGCTCGGGCAATATGGATATTGTACGTATATGCATCTTTATTATAGGGGATGTATGATGAGTTACATTGTGAGGGAATAACTCTTATTGTTTTTTTGTGTGTAAATATTTTTTCTAATTTTATTTCATTTCAATTAATATTTCATTTCAAGTAATATTTCCTTTCAGTCTAAACTCTATTGTTCTTTCAATCATTTTTACCTGGAAATCCAACTTCAACTATATCTGCATGCACTCCCATACTAATATCTGGTTTTACCCTTAATTTGTTTCTCTTGAATTCTGTACTATCTAATTCTGTGTATTCCTAGAAACTACTGTCTTCACCTTCTCTCCCACTACTTTTCCTTCTAGAACATTCTATCAAAATTACTAACAACCCTATCCTATAAATAGTCCAAAATTTCTTATCTCAAGACAGTCTCTCGTCTACCGCTTCTCCTAAGATTCGTAAGTGCTTTTATCTACTCTGTTTTATTGTTGTTGTCTTTTTTATTGTTATTGTTATTGTTGTATTATCTTGTTCTTTTTGTCACTTTGTTCTCGTTTGTTTGTTTCACTCCTTCTGCCTTTTTGTTAGTTGTGTTTTCGTTGTTATTGTTATAAATTGTTATTTGTTACTATTAGTGTTTTTTTGGTATTCAAATAATATCCACCAAAAGACACTAAAACATATTTTAGTACCTACTGGTAGCTGTCAAATTACCTGCCAATTATCGAAAGTTTATGAAAATGATTTTTCCAAATAAATAAAAGTTTTTTCTGATTATTTTTGCAGATACGATCCTATCAAATATAATTCTTGGCCAAAAACGCTCCTACACTGTAAATTACGTCAAAATCCTAAATCCGTAAGGCATTTCCGAAAATTAGTTATACAATGTAACGCGGACTATTTAAAAACTGCATTTTCGGCGCAGTTCTCCTACGCGTCGTACTACCCCACGGAAGGCGCCACTCGAGACCTGGTACTTGCGATCTCCAACGCTCCCCTACTCCTGACATGCACCCTCTCGGTACTCGCTCTGCAACCCCTCCTCGCCGGACATGAATACAAAGGCAATGCCCCGGCCAGAAACAGGTTCCCTTCCCCCCTGCCAAATTATTGGCAACTACTCCCAACTTCCCTGATGAATACCTCGATTTCCTGGATAACCTACCCGACTCCGTAAAATACCCCTTCACTTTGAAAACGAAAACATCCTCATTACAACAATACACAGTTACTCTGAAGTCTGTATGACATTTTGTAATGGTTGGGATATATACACGATTTTTAATCGAAAGCCGTTTGATTATTCGTTTTTTTTCTTAAGAATAAAGAATGAAATTAAGTTTGTTTTTTGTTCATGTACTGAAAACATTAGCATTGCATCTTTTACAGATGGAATAATAAAGCTAGCTAATATGCAAATAAAAGGTGTTGAAAAAGTGAATGCAACTGTCATAAAATGAGAAAGGGAACTTACTTCCTGCTGAGAGTGAAGCACGTACTCCTCCCGCATTAATAAATCCTAACGGCGGATATTTTCCTTGAGTTGAATCTGCTCCTTTGTACTGAAACGAATGAAGGTAGGTCAGTAAAATGGTTTGTGTCTCACAATTTTTAACTGAGAAACTGAGATTGAGAAAGAGAACCCGAAGACTGGTTGGACACTTACTTCCACTTCTTGGTATTTTGAGCCAATAAGTATTTCGATTTCCCGAAAACTAGAGCAACCCACATTTCTAATTATAGACATTGTTTTATTAATTACTAATAGTGGTCAATGTAAATATGCAACCTCAACTTGAAATCACTTTTCAATTTTGAACCACTACAAATTTCCTCAAACTAATGTGGAAAATATTTTTGTTGCTGTTGTCACCCCCCGCAGGGAATCGAAGTTTCATATATCCAGTATATACTTATAATTACGTTAATAATAAAAATCGACGGATCGTTAACCTAGTAGGTCAGGTTTGTCGTGGTTGCTGTTGTCATCTCTCGTGGCTTAGTTGGTTAGAGCATTAGTGCGTAAAGCCAAAGGTCCCGGGTTCGATACCCGGCGGGGGGTGACAACAGTAACAAGAATATTTTCCTCATTAATTTAAGGAAATTTGTAGTGGTTCAAAATCGAAAAGTGATTTCAAGTTGATGTTCCATCTCTAATTATATATTTGCGAATAGTATTCTAACCTAGGACGCGGAAAAGAAAAGGTTAGAAGCACTGGAAATGTGGTGTTACAGACGAATGATGAGAAGAGAAGGTTAGAAATGAGGAGGTATTAAAAATAATAGGGGAACGGAGAACTCAATGGAAGTCAATAAGAAATAGGCGAGATAGGTTGGTAGGACACCTTCTCAGGCATGAAGATCTAGTCAGAGAAATATTAGAGGCAGAAACAAGAGTTAGGAGGGATAGAGGTGGACCTAGATTAGACTATTGTTCGCAAACAGTTAAGGATGTGGGATGTTCTAGTTTTTGGGAAATGCGAAGATTAGCTCGGGATAGAAAAGAGTGGAGATGCGTGTCGAATCAGTCTTAGGACTGACGACCTTATAATGATGATGAACCTAACCTAGGCCTGGGTTTACCTCTGTAATTCTTAGCTGTTGCTTCTATGTCTCTTGTCTTTAATTAGCCCTTCATGATACAATTAAATCAGTTTTAATAAGAACAACGAACTATGTATCACGAAAGTATATGTAATTTTATACCCAAATACGGATCTCATGTAATATGTGCGAATGGGAACCGCTTCCTAACCATGATAAGGACATTATTGTATCATCCGGTATTTATGATTTTCTATTCTATTCTATTCTATTCTATACCTATTCATATCTCCTTGTTTAATAGGTAACGAGGAACTTACACTTGCAGCGTATCCATCTGCTACAAAACTTCCCATGACACATTCCCCCGAGTAACACGAGGTTGGTAAGTTTATCAAAGTTTCACCAACAACAACACTACCATAACTGTCTATAATTTCCTTCCATGGCTGCAGCGCGTTCTCAATTGTTTCATCTGTAATGTTTTTAATTACATTTGTTACAATTTATTTTTCATCTCTTTCCATCCTACACTGTAACTTTGACCAATTTATATTTTTCTGCCAACATAAATCAAAGCTCAAAGTTTTGCACTTTCGCGATCATAGTCAAGTAAAATATTTTAGAATGCATTTCAAATGGCAGTATTCATTCATTAAATGACCGTCCAGTCAATTAACCACGAATATTATGCAACAATATTTTGATCTGACCCTGACTGAACCATGACTTGACCAATAATATAAATCAGGCTTTATATTTCAGTTTCTAAACAACACATCTCCACCACTAGTGCATACTGCCTTTATTATTATTATAAAGAATACTGTTGTTTTAGAATGTACTACAAATGGCGCAGTAAACGCCATCTGTAGCACGATGCTACATTTTATTCGATTAAGCTAACGTGCCTATTACGTTGAGGTTGGCTACGCCGGGATTCGTTTTCAGCAAGTAGATATCCACACAAGTGGACCTTGTTGGACCACACGTAATCCTAAAATGTAGCATCGTGCTACAGATGGCGTTTACTGCGTCATTTGTAGTATTTTCTAAAACGCGCTGTTAAGACAGCAGGTAAAACTTGGTTTGTGTTTTGTCGGAGCTGCCTGCGACGCGCTGATGAGATCCAAAAAGATCGAAATCGCGATCCGCGTCTGGCTGTTTCGACAGAATACAAACCACTTCGAATTGTTTTAATAGTGTTGTTTGTTTGGATGGTGGTGTACCTTTTTTATAACTGGCATTCAAAAATATTGGTGCTCCCTCCCATTCAACGACGTCTCCGTTCTTGTCGTAGAACACTGTTATATTACCCAAGTACTTCGTATACGCTGACGCTTGTACTACCAAAATTTTTCTGCCATCAGATTGTGTTATTACTGTTGGATAATCGCCAGCGGGAGTGTCAGGACCTGGACTGTCGTTACCTGTGAAAATAATTACCCTTTATCTCAATATTAAATTCAATTAATACAATTGACAAAAAACAAATTGTTTTACATGAAGTAACAAATAATTCAGAAACGCAACCATTCGTACAGCTAATGAAATTAAAAATAGTCCACGATCGGTGAAACGGGTTGGTGAGTTGAAAGGGTACAATCTACTACGCCCGTGATAGGAATATTGAAGAAAGGGGGCTGTAATCTTTATACCTAAAACTGCCTACTTTTGCCACCGCGCATCCACGCCATTTTAAAACATCCGCCAGCTTCCAGCGTCAGGCTTGTACAGGTCTGACGAAGGAAGCTGGCGAGCGGTGCCGCAGGTACTTGCCCATTTATGACCTATTTGGGTAAGTCACTTGGAATCGATAGACAAATAAGCTTTCAGTAGGCGTAAATTATAGTATTAATACAGATAGGACAGTAGCGTACTGGAAAATAACGTAAAAACATGACTTATCAAAAAGAAAAAATTAACCTATTGCTTTTGTTTTGTAGTTAGTTTTCACATTTAATCTCATCATGGGAATCTCTATCACTGTCACCAACATCAACAATTAGTTTTTCTGTTTGTCTGTCTATTACTTGCTCACTGATCCCTATTTTTAAATATTTAATCTACGCCCCTGATAGGAATACTGAAGAATGAGGGCTGCAATCTTTATACCTAAAACTGCCTACATTTGCTACCGCGCATCCACGCCATTTTAAAATTTCCGCCAGCTTCCAGCGTCAGGCCTCTACCTATGTTTAAATGAAAAGATGACCACTGATTATCTTTCTACCGGTTTGATTCTGGGTCCAACTTCTCTTTTCGAAGTTTTCTGTACGTTCCTTGGGCCTCTTAGGGAAAATGCCAGGGTAATAATAAAATTCCAGACAATTTCTCACTTCTGTCATTTCCCCTACCACCACCTAACCACCTCCACCATTCCTGAAGAAAACTTTCTGTCTAACCCCGTTGCTTTATAATAAATTGGTAATCAATTAAACATCTCGCTTCATTCAATGATTCCTATGTTACCAATTGTTTGTAAAAATATTAACAAAGTGCTTATGAAAATCAACAAATGCGAGTTAGATAAAAATTGACAAAAACTGACCTCAATTGATTATTCAGAAAATCTAAATCTAATTTTGTTTAATTTTCTTATTAACAATATGAGGGATTGTTGTTTACCTGTGTAAAGAAATGTGTGTGAGTGGGCACCGACGACTAAAGAAATTTTCGAAGTGGCATTCCTCGCTATAGCAATTTCTCGTTCATAACCGCAATGTGACACCACTATTATGGTATCCACCAAATCGTTGGCGACCAGTCTGTCAGCTTCTTCATTAACTGATGCCGATTCTGGCAGAAACTTGAGGTTTTCGGTAGCTGCCATGGACTTAAAAAACGAAACTACTAAATACTTCTATAGTAAAAATAACAAAGGAAAACAAATGGTTGTGAGCATACAGGGTTTGTACGGAAAGTAATAGGACTGAATCTATTTAAAAAAAAATATTGAGCCAATCGTTACAATTCTTTAAAAATGTTCAAAATAGGCTCCTTCTGCGTCGATGCAGCGCTGACAGCGCGATTTCTAAGCATTGAAGGCGTCACGGAAGGCATTCTCCGGAATAGCCTTAAGAGCCGCGGTGCATGCTGCTTGGATCCCCCCTGTCGTCTCAAAATTCTTGCCTTTCATCGGCCTTTTCAGGCTAGCAAACAAAAAAAAGTCCGGAGGGGGGCACATCTGGGCTGTAGGGCGGCTGCGGAAGCGTTGGGATGTCACAGATAGGCGGTGTGAGCCGGGGCGTAGTCGTGGTGCAACTTCCAGTCGGCTGAGATGTCTTGTCGGACCCTATTGACCCTTCGTTTGAGTCTCTTGAGTACTTCCACGTAAAACTTGACGTTGACGGTTTGTCCAGGAGGAACAAATTCATGGTGGACGATGCCTTTCATGTCAAAAAAGACAATGAGCATCGTTTTCACTTTGGATTTGCTCATTCTTCCCTTTTTTGGGCGAGGAGACGCTGCCGGGGTGTGCCACTCGGAAGATTGCCTCTTTGTCTCGGGATCATACTCAAAAATCCATGACTCGTCACCTGTGATTACGTTATTCAAAAATTGGGGGTCACTTTCACACATATTTAAATTTTCTTGGCACACTTCCACTCGCCGCAATTTCTGGTCGTCAGTGAGCGCTTTTGAGACCATCTTCGCGCACACCTTGCGCATGTTCAAATGCTCCGTCACTACCGAATCCAGTCGGTGCACGCTCCGAAGTGCAGTCGCGGCGGAAGGAAATCAGACCTATTACTTTCCGGACAAACCCTGTATACATTGTAATCCCAAAAATTTATTGAATTACGTACTCCTTGTTGTCGTATCATAGGTAGATACATAAAATATTAACACTGGGTGACATGCATCCTATGATTGATGAAATAAATAATATGGTAAAGGGTGATGTGATTTCAACACCATTTATTATATAAAATTAAAACAATATTCACTGTTACTCGTTTCGGCTTGACAGGTCATTCTATGTAACGTAGAAGTATTCTGTTTTAAGGGGCACTTTATTGCACAAATAAATTAGAAGTGGTCAGTATTCTGTCGAACTGCTAGACACGGATCGCGATTTCGATCTTGTTGGATCTCATCAGCAGGTCGCAGACAGTCTCGGCAGAGCACAGACCATCTTTACCTTTTGCCTTAACACAGCGCGTTTTATGAAATCCTACAAATGACGCGGTAAACGCCATCTGTAGTACAATGTTACATTTGATGGAATTCAATATACTCAACAAGATCCATTTAAATATATGGATATCTACTTGCTGAACTGAATCCAGGCGTAGCTCACTACTGAATCCAACAAGATCGAAATCGCGATCCGTGTCTCGCAGTTTCGACAGAATACTGACCACTTCGAATTTGTTTGTTCGATTATGGTAACGTGACTATCACGTAGTGGTGAGCTACGCTTGGATCCTGTCTTGTTGAGCATATTGAATTCCACTAAATGTAGCATTGTACTACACATGGCGTTTACCGCGCCATTTGTAGGATTTCATAAAACGGGCACTTTATTCTTAAGAATTATTGGTTGGGGCGTTTCTCGGGAGTGGACCATGCGTTCTGTGAGCGAGAATATTATTAGAAAAAACTTTTATGTGTTTCATTCCCACCAGGTACTAACGTTGGAAGGCGGGTAGTCCATCCAGTCTACGCCGGAGGGTAACACACAAGGCCTACTTCAGTCTTCTTTTAGGAATCGTGGGAATGGGTGGATAGTAATTTAGATGACAGAAGAGAGTGAAAACTTATCTGTAGAATATTATCTATTGTCCCATCATTTGCCTAAGTGATTCAAGGAATCTTGTAGTGGTTGCAATTACGATGACTAAAGTGACATCCTTGGAGCGGGGTAAAAGTTGTGTGTAGACGTTGGTAGTAGCGGTACGGTGCTTTACTACCGAACGAGGGTTGAGCAGAGAGGAGATTAATCGATCGGAAAAAGAAGGCGGAAAATATGAAAAAAACCAGAAGCGGTTAAGCAGGTTGTGACCCTGCGGGGGACCATCCTGGTATAAAAAGTGTAGAAAGATAACTAAGAAGCAAGAAAAGTAGGGATCACAAAATATTTACGCTTTTCAACGTAATAATAAAGTGAAAACTCATTGCAAACTCCGCCGTTACAAAGTTACACCATTTTTGGAGTGTGCAGCTGAATGAAGATATATATGTTAGGCCTGAAGACCGAAAACGCTCAGTGACCGGAAAAAACTGCCACATCGCGTTCTGGCTGCCTTCAAACGCACAGAACGCGTTTTGGCTGTTTTTAAACGCTCCCAACGCGTTCTGGTAACTGTTAAACAGCCGGAACGCGATTTGTCAATTGTTGATCGCTCACAACGCGTTCTTAATGTTCGACTTGTATTGTTTGCCGTTTTCTACCTGCGTACAATGAGATTTATATTGTAGGTACTTATAAAACAAAAGAATTTCAATCCATTTTTCAGTTTTTAGGAAACAATTCAATTATTGACAATTATAATTAGATACCAAAGATGTGTTCGGTTTTTCTCGCCGAATCATTTCAACAATATTAAATTTCTTATAATTGTTTTTCAGTTCTAGGAAGAAAGTTACACTGAACACTTATATTGCCGAGCATATAATATATGAATGAGGGAAATTTTAATAACCTTTTGTAATTTTAAGATTTTGTCAACTTACCTAAACAATAGGTGTACGGTTATTAGCTATTGTTATAAACTGAAGGTACTAAAAATGTACAACTTTTCTTTATAATCATTCCAGTACAGTACATTTATGATCATTTGTAATTTGTATGATTTTTCGGCGATTTTATAACAATGCACGTACCGATGACTCTATATGACAATGAGTTATGTGATCAAGGAGGTTTAGAAATTAGCTTTTCGAGAAGATTCCATTAAAATTACATCTAATAATCCCTAGGGGAGGTATTGATTTTTGAGTATATAATAACTAAACTAAACTAATAACATAAAAAATCAGTACAGTTCTCGTCAGTGTAGCGAGAAGATCAGTCTGTCATTGACTAAACAACTTACTAATGTCGTTTGAAAAGTTACACTTTCATTAAAATGTCTGATAAATCAGCGAAAGAAATTTTTTATGATAAAGTAAAACCAATTATTGATAGTTAAATGTGTAGAAAATAAATCGAAATTCATTTGTTTAATGAATAACTTTTCGCTTTTTCATTCATTCATTCGTATATCATATGCTCGACAATACAAGTGTTCAGTGTAACTTTCTTCCTAGAACTGAAAAACAATTATAAGAAATTTAATATTGTTGAAATGATTCGGCGAGAAAAACCGAACACATCTTTGGTATCTAATTATAATTGTCAATAATTGAATTGTTTCCTAAAAACTGAAAAATGGATTGAAATTCATTTGTTTTATAAGTACCTACAATATAAATCTCATTGTACGCAGGTAGAAAGCGGCAAATAATACGAGTCGAACATTAAGAACGCGTTGTGAGCGTTCAACAATTGACAAAACGCATTCCGACTGTTTAACAGTTACCAGAACGCGTTGCGAGCGTTTAAAAACAGCCAAAACGCGTTCTGTGCGTTCGAAGGCAGCCAGAACGCGAGCATTTTCGGTCTTCGGGCCTAACATATATATCACGAAATAACTGCATGTGTAAGTGCCATGAGGAATTTTACTTTTCGTTTAAATGAGTGCCGTTTGTGTGATGCGTTACATTTAGACAGCATTATTCTTAAAATATACATTCCTGAACAATTAATGAAGGTTTTGTTCACAGACGTCAAACTTTCCCTTAGATAGAACCTCCTATAATACAGTCACATGCGTATAGGCATCCCAACATACAAGGTTACAAACAAGACCCGGTTTCTATACAGCATATACTGGATCATTCTAGAACATGGCCAGCCTTTGTAAAAGTAGTTGCCGCGAATTCGAGTTAGGGGGTACGAGTTCGAGTTACGTGGTGATACAAAGCGAACAAGTGACAAAGTATTCATATAATGGTGAATTGATAACTAATTAATAATAGAAGTGTTAATTGGACAGCAAATAGTAGTTCTAGTGTGAGGTGTTTAAATACGCGACAATATTCTTTAATAAGTGGTGAGACAAATTAACAAAAATTTAATCACTTACCGGAGTGGTTTGTAGGATAACACCTATAATGCCAATTCTAATACCATTTCTATTGATGACAATACTTTTATTGAGCAAGCCTTGCATATCTGGCTCATCGCTGGCATCAATATTAGCCACCACAACAGGTGCATTTAGCATTTTAAGAAACGGTACCAAACCGGCTATAGCATCATCAAAATCATGATTTCCAATCGTCTAAGGAATAAATAAAAGTTAGAAGCGTATATATTTAAAATTTTTAAAGGCACACGTATACTTAATGAAATAGGAAATCAAGTGTAAAAGTATCCGGCGTCTTAAACAGATAATATATTGGGAAGTGTTGTTATATGTAGGGAAAGAGCGAATGTAAAGATAGGAGACGAAAGATTAGAAGAAGTGGGATTTTTAGTATTTAGGAAGTCAGATAATCAGTTTTATCAATATGTTAAAAAAGTAAGTTACAAACAATGAAGATGATATCCCAAAGAGACTAAATTAGGCAGAATAAGAAACACAGATATTCAGCAGGAACTAGGAATACATCCAGTACAAAATATTATAGAGCAAAATCAGTTGACGTGATTCGGATGTGTGAATGAAATGAATGGTAAGAGACAAGTAAGGAAATTATGGGAAACTCGAGTAACTGAAACAGGAAAAAAAGAAAGACCAACGAATACACGGATAAATGAGATTAGGAAAATTTTAAAGTGAATGGTAGACTGCTACACCAGGGAAAGGACTTTTCACAGGAAAAGAATCAAAGCCGACAGGGGTTATCTTTAGGTATTTTATTTATCATAAAACAACAACCAATGTTTCGCCTTCAATTGCGGGTCTTTCTCAAGGCTAAAAAGAAATTAGTCCTGCCGGCTTTGATTTATCCAGTGGTTAAATATTAAGTGAAGAATGGAGAATAGAAGAGATGGGGAGATTTAGTCGATAGAGTATTATACAGATAACAAAAATATCAACAGAAACAAATGAGAAAAGGATATCAGTAGGTAATTGTCTTTTACACCATTAACGCTATGATAATACGATATACATAACACACAATCTTCTTAGATTTTTGAAAAGTGAACCATTTTGTTTAAAACGATTTGACACACGCTATCTTTGCTTTATATGTATCTCCAGCGATTTTTCGTTGTAGAACTATGATATAAAAGAAATAAGAAGGATAAGAAGCAAAAGTTAGAAGGAGATGTAGGTTTATTGGTTATAGGTTATAGATTATTTGCATTATTAAAATATAAAAAAGGGAAATGCTCCAATGCCTTGTTTGGTTGTTAGTTATTTCTTAAATAATAAAAACTACTGTGTACATTATATATTGTAATTGCATTCCTATTCCAAATGTCGGCCGCGGTAGTAATTTACGATTAGAATAACAATTGTACTGGATAAGTTACAATCACAAGTACTTAAAAGTATATGCATTTATCGATAAAGCAAAATAATATTATTATTTGTTAAACAAATTGAATTTTACTGTAACTGTAAGAATACTATAGAATATCAATGCATATTGTGTTGCATAAGGTTGGAGTAAATAGGTCTACTCATCATAACTTATGTTATTTAACCGCTATCTTCGTACGATGTCTGTTCGTATCTATCAATTTCTTGATAAATTTAATTTTTACATTTAAAGGATGTTTGGAAAGGTAGTGAGAAATGCTCGTTTAAAAGAAAACTACATTCAATATTCACTTATTTAATAACCAAGACGGCAAGCCACTGTTAAAATGAGAATCAAAATTTATACATACAGGATGTCTCACGGTGACCGCCCATTAGAATATTTCGATTTAAATTTTGAAAATTTTTACAATAGATTTATTGGGTATACTCTCCTAAATTAAAATAACGACATCTATGTAGCAGTTCCGGTTATACCGGAACACCTTGTATATTATGACAGTTTCTTCTACTTATTATTTTAGGTAAATTTTCATAAGGCTTTCCTAATTCTAAAATTNGAATCGAATACAATGAAGAGTATAGTTGTTAAGTAAACTAGTAAATAACTAGTCAAAGAGAAGTTCGTTTATATTCTCTTATTTCCCTACATCAATTAAAACTTTGATGCTTTATGATTTTTCTTATTATTTTTAGATAGAACGCGGTTTCCCTAATTAGAACTAGTTTTTACTAAATGAGCAGTTCCGGTTATACCGGAACACCTTGTATATTATGACAGTTTCTTCTACTTATTATTTTAGGTAAATTTTCATAAGGCTTTCCTAATTCTAAAATTTAGGGTTTTTGAAATATTAATTAAAAAAAAAATTAACAGAGCAGTAGGTGGCGGAAAAGAGAGCCTATTTTACAGTAAGAAAGCTAATGTAACAATATTCTTGGGAGAGATACCTATTCCCTGAAGCTACCCGTCCATATTTTCAAAGTGGATTAATTACATATCGGGATATTTAATGGCGGATTTGGTTAACATCAAACAATCGTTAGTCTATTTTTTTAAATAGAACACCCTGTATATATTTTCATTGCCTTATGCTGAATTTTATTTTCTTTCGAATGGTACTGCGGCTCCCTATATTTATCTTCTAGTATTTTCAAATTATTTATTGTTCTTTGCGAAAGTAATTTTTTTACGAAAATGGATGTGATTTTCTGATAAAAGGGTTTTCACTTTTAATCACTAAAACCCAATGAATAATATCGCTGTTAGTTCTCAAAAAATTGTCAGAACTACTGAAATTGTAGTTTGTTGTCCTCATTACTCGTCAGTCCTAAGACTTAGACACGCACGTCCACTCCTTGCTATCTTGAGTTAATCTTCGCATTTCCCTAAAACTAGAACAACCCACATCCTTAACTATTTGCGAACAGTAATCTAATTTAAATCTACCTCTACTAACCTAACCTAACCTAACTCCCGTTTCTGCCTATAATATGTGTCTGACTAGACCTTCATGCTTGAGAAGCTGTCCTATCAACCTATCTCGCCTATGTTTTATTGACTTTCATGCAGTCCTCTGATCTCCTATTCTTTCTAATACATCTTCATTTTTAACCTTCTTTATCCACGGCATCCGCATCATTCGCCGGTAACACCAAATTTCGAACGTTTCTAACCTTTTCGTTTCTGCCGCGCTCACCGTCTGTGTTTCGCACCCGTACAGCGCCGCGCTCCAAACATACGCCTTGTTGTCCTAATAATTTTTTAATTTTAATCATTTTGTGCATATGATTTATGATGTTACGGGATTTAAAACGCTTATGGGGTATAAATTTAACGTTTTTTTCTTTTATAGCCACTTAGGCCAGCACCGGAGAAAACGAAGCATTGTTCAGCGGTTTATTTCTTGAATAACTCATTATTTAAACTTTGAACTAAAACGGCGCTAAACCTTTTTGTTTAAGTTTAAATAAACTTCTATTTTCGATTTTGATCAAACATGGGAAAACGAGACAATTACGCTCCTTACGTAGGCATCTGTTGGAATTCTGTTAAGAAATTCTTGAGTAACGTTCCATTTAAAAATATTGTACCACAACGTTCCTTGGTAATTGTCACCGGCATTAAGAAAAATTGAATTTGGTCTTTCTTGAAGTAGTTGCGTCACAACTGAGTACACTCTTGCAATGCCACCAATACAATTACTTTCTCCATTTGCACATGTCACAGAATTTTGGTTTACCTCGTCAAATCTGAAATCAAACAGAATTTCTAGTGAGAAGATGGTGATACCATCGAATTACTTTAATAAAATTAAAAATTGCACTTTTGTGATGTTTGGTTGTTTGGTATTAGTTTTTAATAATATTGCTGGTTTTGGCTACTTGGGTTATTGTTAGACTCTGGAGCTATATGGGGTGACCCTCAGGTAAAAACAAGAATTTGCGTTTTTTATTCTCACAATCATCGATTACTAACGCTGGTGGGCAGACGGTACTTTCCACCTACATTCCAGTGAAAAACGAAAGCGTGGGGCAGAAGGCCCACTTTAACCTCCTTTCAGGAATCGTAGAGATGGGTTGGTAGTGATTAGGAAGAGATGAACAAGATGGACGAAATGAAGGCTAAAGAATGGAATGATTATCATCAGCATTTGTATAAATGATCCAAGGAAATTTTAGCAAATCATGGGTAGTCATACTCGGAATTGAACCAGTGTCCTGACGAATTCTATGCTATGTTCTAAGCCGAAAGGTCGAGCTGGTTTATTTGCCTTTTTCTGTTCTCAGTTATTTTTATGTAAATATTTGTTTTGTTCTTGCTGCTTTGGACTAACAATAAGGTTAAAGGTAAGATCAATTATGCGGGATTTAAGAAGGAACACTGCTTAAGAGTGTAACACTAGGCTGATTACTGAGAAGCGTCTTAACTCTCAGAAACGTCAAGATATTTGTATTTCAAAGCCAAAGAAGTCAAATTACCATCATCTTAGGATTTTGATGCAGAGATTTTTCAAAAGTGTAATTTTCTAAAAAAAATTGTGTCAGACTCGACTTCAGCGGATATTATTATCTGCTATAGGGGAGACTAAAAATCGTATTTTTTTGGATTTTGGGGTTATGTTAGCTCGAGATATTGACGTAATGCAGTAATTCTGAGGCCAGATTCATATTTAGCTACAAATATTTGGACAACTAAACTATTATACAATGGACAAAAATGTGAACACAAAAGGAAATTTCAAGAAATGCTCAAGAGTATTCCGGAGGCGTATAAATGAGCGAATCGAATACAATGAAGAGTATAGTTGTTAAGTAAACTAGTAAATAACTAGTCAAAGAGAAGTTCGTTTATATTCTCTTATTTCCCTACATCAATTAAAAGTTTGATGCTTTATGATTTTTCTTATTATTTTTAGATAGAACGCGGTTTCCCTAATTAGAACTAGTTTTTACTAAATGTCTTTATAGAACTAGAAGTGCCTACTCAAAACTAGAATTTACCACTGATACATTTGATTTTCTAATAATAAAACTAGTTGTCACTCTGAGCTTTAGTTAAAATTAGCACTACAAAAACTAATTTGGGATTGAAAACAAAATATAGTTTTAAAAATATTTATTATAAGATCTAGGACACAGAGATATGTACCTAGTAAAAATAATAATCGTACACTAGATATTATCTATTGTCCCATCATTTGCCTAAGTGATTCAAGGAATCTTGTTGTCTATTACTTGCTCACTGATCCCTATTTTTAAATATTTAATCTACGCCCCTGATAGGAATACTGAAGAATGAGGGCTGCAATCTTTATACCTAAAACTGCCTACTTTTGCCACCNGTTTTAAAAATATTTATTATAAGATCTAGGACACAGAGATATGTACCTAGTAAAAATAATAATCGTACACTAGAGGAACATTTTAGGGAACATCGACATAAAGTAGTTCCGAAGGTGACAATATTAATTAAAAGTAAATAAAATAATCAAACAAGTTAACAGAACACAACCATCTGAAGAAGTTGCGATGAACTTTAACTTCAGTCGGAACAGTTTTAGCGGACTCGTTTCGGAAAAACGCGTTTTGTCTAGTAAGAAGTAGTTTTAACTGATATTAAATTTTGAGCATCAGTTAATTTTAGTTTTAACAAAGGCATTTAGTAAAAACTAGTAGTTCTAACTAGAGAAAACGAATTCTATCTAAAAGCTGGTTTTAACTATAGCATATGCAATTATTGGCTAAAGCTGTTACATGTTGAAAGTTATCCTTAGTTAGCAGAACTAAAAGCACAAGTGGTTTCAATAAATATTTTTACTGTAAACACAACAACTGTTTCACCACACTGTGGCTCAGTGTCCAATTTCTTAATTCTTGTGAGACAACCCGTATACTTTCACATAATTTTCCGGTTACTTTTACTGAATGGTAACGTGTAGGAAAGAGCAACATTAAAATTCGATTTTAATGGGCATAGTTTCATTTAGATACTTACATAACAAAATTAAAGCGTATTAAGAAACAAAAGTCACTAATTTCTTTTGAAACATGACAAAATTCAACGGTTTCAACATCTGCATCGATCTTATATTTATAACATTTGCATTAGGTACATGCGAGAGCATCCTAGCATAGACGTCTTAATGAAGCTATAGAATCTACTGCTCAACTAAATTGTCTTTGCTTGTCACCTTGATTTTCTATTCTGAGGTCTGTCCAAAAAGTATCGCGAATTTTGTGTTTTTTCAAAAATTATTTATTCATTCATGAATATCTGTTTTGCCCCCTTCAAAATAATCCCCACCAGATATTACACACTTGTGCGAACGATTTTTCCAATCCTTGAAGTATTTCAAAAAAATTATTTTTTGTGATCTTTCTCAGCTCCTTCGATGCCGTCTTTATCTTCTCAATGGTAGTGTAGCGTCGTCCCTTCATAGGCTTCTTCAGCCTCGGGAACAAGAAAAAGCCTCGAGGGTCCAGATCTGAGGAATACAATGGCTGCGACAATATTAGTGTGGTTTTGGTCAAAAATTTGCACACAAGCAACAATGTGTGAGCAGGGGCGTTATCATGGTCCAAAAGTCAATTTTTGTTCTTCAACAAATCCGAGAGCGTTTCTCGCTGATTGCTTCGCACAAATTACGCATTATCTGCAGGTAATATTCCTCATTGACAGTTTTATCCTGTGACAAGAACTCATGATGCACCACGCCCCTGCAATCAAAGAAAACCGCAAGCAAAGTCTTCACATTCAACCTAACTTGGAGCTCTTTTTTCGGTCTTGGATCGTGCAGCAGCTTCTATTGGGATGAATGAGCTTTGGTTTCCACGTCATAACCATAAACCTATGATTCGACATCAGTTATGATCCTCTAGAGAAAATTTGGATCTTCGCGGTTAGAGTCCAACAGCTCCTTAGCAATGTTAATGTGATGCTGTTTTTGGTCAAAATTGAGCAATTTTGGTACGAATTTCGCAACGACCCGTCTCATACCCAAATGATATATAAAAATCGAATTCCAGGAGTCAGCCGATATGTTTAGGTCCTCAACAACGGTGATTCGACGATTGGCCAATACTGTTTTCTTTACTTGATCAATGTGTTCGTCTGGTGTCCGACACGCTTTTCGTCGTTCACACCTTCTCGGCTCTCTGAGAACATATTTTACCGTCTATAAACGTTTCTTCGAGCCAAAGTAGCTTCACCATATGCCACAGTCAACATTCGGAATGTGTCCAGGCACTTAGTTTTGTTTTCCATGCAAAATTTGATACAGATTCATTGGTTTATTTTTTGGAATAGGCAAAAATCGAAGACGAGCCAGAAACGTGCAAGGAAAGTAGCTGTCAAAAATTAACTGAACATTCAACATGGCCGAACTTGTCAGTCTAAGTGAGAGACATGAGTACCAACACAAGGCCACAAAAAAAATTGAAAATCGAATATACGTAACCCGCGGAAATTCAAAATTCACCATACTTTTTGAACGGAGCCCGTATGTACAAGGTTGTAAAAGTCTTTTATATATGTGAAGTGACAAGCTAAAATACGCAAATTACATCTACGTTAAAATATTGGAAAGAAAACATAAGTAAAATAAGAAGAAGAAGTAGGTGATTGGAGTGTCAAATATTTAACCACTTACTTAGTTTTTTGCGGGACTTTTTGTAAGAAATTTCGTGCGCCACCTGTCTCCTAATTTTGTGAAGAAAAGTGCAAAAGTGCGTTGCGGACAATATTTTTTTGTTTTTAGATGGTGTATTGTAGTACCATGTTATTTATTAATTTGTGTAATTAGTCAATAATTGGTCATTAATCATTACTTTTCATTCATGTAACAGTTTATAATAGGTAGGTAATTTATTAACCGTTTTTCAGTTTTACCATCTGACAGCCGTTTAATGAATTGTTATATTCAATAAAACCATTAATTGGTAAGGTTCGTCAATATACTAATGGCAAATAAAATTCAACCTTGAAATGGGTTGATAAATGGTATTATTTAGATTTCTTATTGGAGAATATACAACATACAACATTGACATTTAAAAAGTGCGCGTGCATGAAGGCAGGAAAATGTTAACAAAATTTTCTTGTCTTCTTTTTAAACAAATGTGCACTACATTTGTGCGCATTGTACTGTAGCGAGCACGAGCGTGTTTGTGTGCGATCGGGCATACGTGTGTGTGAGCGGCTTATGGATTCGCCGACTTGCCGCGGGCGCCTTTCTTCATATATTTGTAAATGTGTCTGTCGTACCTGCGTTCTGGGAAAACAATTAAACAGTTCAACGAAAAAGAAACTCTTCCGGACGTTTCGAGAAAGTTCCCGAAAGTAAACAAAAGAGTATTTAAAGGAAGAGACGATCGTCGAGGGAGAAGTAGAAATAAAGAAGAAGTGAATCTAGAAATAAATTAACAGTGATAGCAGTGAAATAAATAGCGCAGTGAATAGTGATATATCAATAGTAGTGTAAATAAATAGAAAAATTCAAAACCTAAGTTTAGTAATAATTTAATAGTGTTTTTAAGTTCTTTAATAATTAGTGTAAATAAATAGTTTTTGTCGTTATCAGTCTTAGAGGTAAATTTTGTTAAACCCACTAACATTACAGTACTCTAAGTAATTTTCTGCTACTATTTCTAGTCTTCTTTGGGTTTATTTCAAAAAGTAAAGATGACACCCACAATACGGGGAGTAAGTGTTATACATACGCCAGTCATAAGGAAATCAAGAAACGTCGCAC